CACGCTCTCCGCCTTGCTGGGGGGCAGCGCCAGCGGGGCCAGCGGGGGCCCCACCACAGCCGCCGGCCCGGGATCCTCCTCGCGCTTGGCCTGGCCGCCCACCGCCTCCTCTGCCGCATCTGGTCCGGGAGACAATGAAGTTAGCGGCGGCCCACAGCTCCCGCCCCTGCGCCGGGCATGGATGTAGGGGACAGCGGGGGAAGGCGGCTCTGGCGTGGACATAGGGGACAGTGGGGTACAGCAACTCTGGCACGGACATGGGGGATGCTGGGAGTGTCCGGAGGGCAGCGAGGAGGAGCCTGGGAGCTTGTGGGGCTGCCTGCTCGGCTCAGCTGGGCCCCGGGGGGGGATGCGGGGAGGACAGGCAGGTGGCGGTACCTTTCCTAGGCGCCTCTTTGGCGACTGCCTTCTGCTTGTCGTCATCGGAGGTGGAGGAGGTCGTATAGGACGAGGAGCCACACTTGCGCTTCACACGGCTCGGCAGGTTGCTGCTCTCTAGGTACCTGTGGGGCCCGGACACAGTGAGGAGGGGGCCACACCCTGACCCAGCCCTGAGGCAGTCGCCCCGGAGGACACGACGGCCAGGAGAAGGGCCCCGTACCACCACTGAGGGGCCCACGCTGTGCCCGGCCCCGCTCACCTGATGATGCCGTCCAGGCAGTTGATCTGTTGGTAGGAATAGTTGGACGGCTCCTTCCGCACCGAGCCCTCGGAGGTGGGGGCACATGCCGGGCTCCGCTCAGGTTCCCGCAGCGCTTCCCGGCCCAGGACCCCATGCTCCAGGGCCACGTCCAGGCCTGCGGCACAGGGCAGGGGGCAGGGTTCAGAGCTGGGGCCATGGCGCCTGGGTCTGCCGCCCTTGCGTTGCTGTGGCATCCCCGGGCACTCACCGGCGCGGGGGGCCTTGGCGGCCTGCGGCTTGGTCCGTGACTCGATGAAAACCTGCTGGCCCTTGTTCTTTACCATGTGCACGTCCTTGCAGATCTGCTGGAAGGTCATCTGGAAAGGGGAGCAAGGGTCAGAGCTGGACTGAGATGGGGCCCATGTATCCTCGCTCCAGCCCCCTGCTCTCCCCCACCCACTGAGGTAGAACCCAGGCATCCCAGCCCATGGTGCCCTGTGATACCCGATGCCCCCTCCCCAACTAAGAAAGAACCCAGGCATCCTGGCCTGCAGTGCCCTATGATACCCAATGTCCCCCTCCCCAGTCGGCAGAGAGCCCAGGCATTCTGGCCCTGCTGCGCCCGGCCCGCCCGTTCCCCAGTGCTCACCGGCTGCAGGGCCTGGGCCTCATCGGCTGGGAGCCCGTTGCTGTCGCTGGACGAGGCAACGCTCAGGAACTGCTCGTGGGACCCATTGCTGCCCAGGCTGCAGAGGCCCAGGGAGCCAGTGCTGTGCACGGGCTATGGGGAAGCAAGCGGTGGGGGGTCAGAGCCTGGCACAGCAGCAGCAGGGGACAGCAGCGGGGTTCCAGAGATGGGGGTCTCACCTGGAGCAGCAGGCGATGGATCTGCTCTGACAGCTCCTGGATGTCAGGCTCCAGTGGCCGCAGCTTCTGGGTCTTGGGGGCCATGAAGACATCCTCGTTCAGAGGGCCCCTGCACGGTGGGAAAGGGGCGTCAGCATGGGGGCCTAGCACCACTGCAGCCCCACCCCCCCGCCCATGCACCCCCCGCCACTCACGTGCGGACTTTGTGGCGGCCCATGATGAAGGAGACCTTGCGGCTCCAGGGGTTCACAAAGCTGGACCAGGAGGTGTCAATGGTGACGTACTCGCCGTGGCGTGTGTGGAAGCGCAGTGGGGAGTGGTCGAAGGGCTGTCCACCGTACTGCACAACTGTGGGGAGGGGACATGGGTTAGCATGCGCCTGCGCCCGCCCTGCTGCACGAGGGCATGCAGGTGAGCACATGCACACCTGTGCATGCACACCCCTACTATGTGGCTGCAGGTGCACATGGGTTAGCACACACCATGCAAGCACCTGCACATGCACATGACTGCTGTACTGCATGGGAGGGGTGGGGACACATGGGATAGCATGCACCTGCCCTACTGTATATGCACACGGGTTTCATAGATTTCATAGACATCAGGGCTGGAAGGGACCTCGGAAGATCATCGAGTCCAGCCCCCCGCCCAAAGGGCAGGAAGTCAGCTGGGGTCATAGGATCCCAGCAAGATAAGCATCCAGTTTCATCTCGAAGGTGTTCAATGAAGGCGCTTGAACCACCTCCGGTGGCAGGCTGTTCCAGACCTCGGGGGCTCGGACAGTAAAGAAGTTCTTATGTCCAGCCTGAAACGATCTTGAAGTAGTTTGTGACCATTCAACCTCGTCATCCCTTGGGGCGCTCTGGTGAACAAACGTTCCCCCAGATGCTGGTGGTCACCCCTGATAAACTTGTAGGTGGCCATCAGATCGCCCCTGAGCCTGCGCTTTTCCAGGCTAAAGAGCCCCAGGGCTCTCAGCCTGTCGTCGTAGGGTCTGCTTCCCTGACCTCTGATCATGCGTGTGGCTCTTCTCTGGACTCTCTCAAGCTTCTCCACATCCTTTTTGAATTGTGGAGCCCAAAACTGGACGCAGTACTCCAGCTGCGGCCTCACTAAGGCCGAGTACAGGGGGAGAATGACGTCCCGGGATTTGCTTGAGAAGCATCTATAGATGCAAGCCAGCGTTTTGGTCGCTTTACTAGCCGCAGCATCGCATTGCAGGCTCATGTTCATGCCTGCAATGATTCAGGTCTCATTCAGGGTTAGTACATACCACACATGCACATGCTCATGCACATGTGCTGTAATGCACAACTGCAGGAGGGGGACATGGGTTAGCACACATCATGCACACCTGTTCTGAATAACTGCACGTGCACATGGGTTAGTACACATCACACACACACACCTATACATATACACATGCTGTAATGCACAACTGCAGGAAGGGGACATGGGTTAGCACACACCACACACGTGCACAGGTATGCATGACTGCAGGTGGATCGCAGGAACGAGTGCACACCATACAGACACGTGCGGCAGGGAAGTCAAGGTGAGCACATGCTGCACTGTTCTGGCCGTCCAGCACAGGGCAGGCATGGGGGGGTTGGCACACGCCCCAGGGATCAGCACATGCGAGACGGGACTCACTTTTCTTGTGGATGGCCAGCATGAGGGGCCGGTCCTCAGGGTGCAGGTACCAGAGCACGGGCATCCCGATCAGGTCCTGGGGCAGGTAGCCCAGCAGAGGGGCAGCCCTGGGGCAGACAAGGGGCATCAACAGGGGCTGCCACTGTGCCCACAGCCGGGCCCGATCCCCACCCCACCTGGCCGAGCCCTCACCTCTCATCCACATCCTGGAAAAGGCAGCTCGGAGTGTGCCTGGTGGTAAATATCCGCTTGTCGGGGGGGATGCGGGGGGCTGGGGAAAAGAGAGCAGCAGGGTCAAGCTGGGAGCTGGCCAGACTGGGCCCCACGAGGGCGTGCTGGGGGGAAACCGGGGGCCAGTACCTTCATAGCCGGAGTGGATGCGCTCAGCAATGAGCAGGCAACAGGGCTGGCCCTCGGCTCTGTCAGCCTCGCGCACCTTGGCCAGGTAGGGTGTCAGGCGGAAGGGGTAGTAGCGCAGCTCCCGGCCTCGCTCGTGGCCTCCGCTGAGAAACAAATGCCTGCAATAAGACCAGAGGCCAGAGGAGACCAGACCACCAGGACTGGGCAGGGGGAGGACCCCAGCTCCCAGCCTGCCTGGCCCACCCGCAGCAAACAGGGCTGGGGGCCGGGGTCCCTTGGCGGCGAGCGGTTCCTGCAGCACAGGACAGGTAACGTCTTCCTCTGGGCGTGAGCAGCTGGTCCCTGCTGGACACGCAGCCCCTTGCCCCGGACTCCTACCCCCATCCCAGCGCCCCTCAGCTGCAACCGGCACTCACCTGATCCGGCAGAAGACTGACTTCTCCTGGGTGTAGTCCATGGCAGCTGCACCTGCAGGCACAGCAAGGGCAGGTTAGCGGTGTTCAAGGGAGCCCCACTAGCCTGCCCTCTCCTTTTCTCCAACCGGAGAACACCCCTCACCGCAACCGGTCACAGAAAAGCTATCTCCCAACCCTGCCCCCAAACTCACTGGCGGAGGTGCAGGCACTCCAGGAGGGCAGGTGGTAGGGGGCAGTGGAGCCGTAGAAGATGCTGACATCCTGTGGCGCCAGGAACTCGGCAAACGTGGCCCCCTGGAAGATGTCGTGCTTGCAGCGCAGGATGGTGCCCGCCTGCTCCGAGACGTAAACGATCCGCCCTGTCACGAACGACACAGCCACCGAGAAGGTGTCCTGCGCAGGAAGTGGGGGGTCAGTGAGGCACCAGGCATGCTCAGGGAGTCCACGTGGGCCGGGATCAGGGCACTCACTGGGTTTTTGAGGGTATACTCAGAGGTGATGTTCTCTAGCTCCTCCATGGTGTAGCTGGACATGTCCAGGGTGCAAGGCTGGCTGCCATCCATTGCCCACTGCTGGTAGTAGTCCTGGCTGGCTGTAGCGGGGCGGGGGGAGCTGCTCAGAGCTGGGCCAGGGGTGCCTGGCCCCTGCTGGCAGCCAGGACGCTGCGCCCACCGCCAACCCCCGCGGGCCGTGGCCCTACCTTGGACCTGCTTGACACAGGAGAGGGCATACTGCAGCGTGGCCAGTGTGCCCGACTTGCCCTTGCTGCGCTTCTCCGAGGGCAGCCGGATCTTCATCTCCTTCAGCGCCTTCATCAGCTCTTTCTGTGTCTTCACACGTGCCGACTGCTCGCTGCTGCAGGGGTGCAGGAGGGGCGGGGGGGGCGTCAAGCCGTGCCATGGTGGAGGGGACCTCATCTCGCCCAGGTCACCCCACCCTGTGCCCCTCCTGGGGCTAGGAGAGAACCCAGGCATCCGGGCTCCCAGCCCCCCTCTAACCCACTATTCCCATGACCCTCCCAGTACTGGGGACGGAACCCAAGCATCCAGGCTCCCAGCCCCCACTCTAACCCATTGTGCCCATGCCCCTCCCAGCACTGGGAGAAAACCCAGGCGCCCAGGCTCCCAGCCCCCACTCTAACCCAGTTCTCTCCCTGCACTGGGGATGGAACCCAGGCGTCCGGGCTGGGGCAGGGTGCCTGGCGGGGCTTTGCTCTGTTGCTGCCCACCAAGGACTGGGGCCGGGGCCCAGACATGCAGGTTCCAGACCTACCTGCAGCCGCTGGTGGAGGGGTTGTCCTGCTCAGAGCTGGTGCTGAGCAGGCTGTAGGCGATGGAGCTGCTGGGTGGCGACGGGCTGTGCGAGTTGGTGCTGTGGGGACAAGGGGCCATTGACCTTCTGCCTCCCCCAGTGCCCCCTGCACACCCAGTGACACAGCCAGCCCAGGCCTGGGTGCCCCCAGAGAAGCCAGGCCCCCCCCCGACCCCCCAGCCCTGGCGCAGCCCCGTACCTCTTGTTGCTCTCAGTGGTCTCAATCAGGGCCGAATCCTTGCCATTGCCGCTGCTGCTGTGGTCGCTGCGCAGGGAGCTGTCGCCATGCGACTCGTTGCCGCTGGACCCATTGCTGTTGGCGTCCATGTCATCGTTGGCCTGGCCCCGGGGCCGCCCGGTCCCCGGCCCCGCCGCTGCCACACCTCCGCCCTCAAAGGGGCCCTGGCCTGGCTCGCAGTTGCTGCTCATGTTTGACAGGCGCCCCAGGGCATTGCCACCCTGCCGGCACAGGGAGAAAGCAGGGGGCGAGATGCGGGCGGTGTCACCTCTGGGTGGGTGCAGGCGAGCCAAGAGTCTGGGGCACCTGCAAGACAGGGAGCAGGGTCAGGGCAGGGGAAACTGAGGCTGGGAGAGGTGCCCGGCTGTTCCCCATGCGGTGCTTGTACATGGAGCAGGTCCCAGGATGGCCCAACAAGTCCCCACACGGTGGAGGGAGTCTGGCAGAGAACCCAAGAGTCCTGGCTCAAACCCCCTCAGCCCCCACCCCGCAGACCCCTCCCAGAAGAAAACCCAGGCACCTTGACTCCCCTCCCTCCATGTCCACTTTAACACATGCAGCCAGAGAACCAGGCATCCGGTCCCTCCTCACGGTGTGGCACGTGCAGCCCCTTGGCCCTAAGCCAGGTGGGCACCACGTGGCCAGGACCATCTGGATTGTGTCCCCCTCCCCCCACCCCAGCTCCCTAATTACCCTCGAGATGGCTATTCTGAGCGCAAAGCCGGGCTATTGTTAGCTCCCTGCGCTGCCTGTGGGGCTCAGCCCTCTGCCCAGGGGTCGCCCCCCACCCCTGTCCTGCTGCCAAGAGCTCCCTGCCCCCGCCCTGCCCCTTTGACTGGCCTGGCCCGGATCCTGCAGCCTGGGCGTGTGAAGCGAAGCAGGAAAGGGCTGGCAGGGCGCCAGGGACAGGAAAACCCTGGGGCAGCTTTTGCCAGGACCAGGACCAGAAGGAGGAGGAAGAGGAGGATCGGTACCAGCACACACATGGGCATGGCCCTGCCAGTGTCTCTACAGACCGGGGGGGGGCGGGGCCGGCCCTGCCAACAGTGTGCACAGGGACCCTACCCACGCACACGCACACGCACGCGGGGCCGTTGGAGAGACGTGACTCCAGGCCCGGGCACACAGAAAGACATAGGCTCGGAGACTGGAGGGGGCCCTGCAGGCACAGATGCCGAG